TGCCCCCCCCATTCTGGGGGGCTTCGTCACCATAGGCTCGTGCAGCTCCGCTGCCGAGCCATTGGTTCGTTTTTTAAAGCTCTGCACATTTACAAAGTCACATCACCATTTACTGGCCTGGATGAAGAATACAGCGCTTGTAGTCATTTTTGCGAATTTGTGTGACAATGTTGTTGTCTGTACATGAATTTGCAACAAAATGCAAAAATGCAACAAGCACCCAACGTGTGTTCATGACAGTCTGGAGTGTGAGCATCTTGTTGTGTAATGAGGTATATCAAACCCGATTGAGATCACGCACATGAATGTAATCTTGCTCTTTTATATAGGTTGCAGCATCAGGATAAGCACAAGTAAGTGCCATTTTGATGAACAACACAACAAACGCGTCCTCCCACTATGCAGACAACATACAGCGTCAGCTCATGTGTGAGTTTGCTACCGAGCAAACATCATTATATGTGACAGAATGCTTGTTCTCCAGACTCAGGACTGTTTGCTGAGGCTGTGTATTACAGGTAATAATGTTGTAAATAATGCTCAGTTTTGCTTCATAAGACCTCAATGTAGGCTAGCGTCAGGAACCACGGGTACTAATTTAGTTTTACTTGTATGTGTTTGACTCTCATAGTGCTGGTAACCGTTGACTTGCATTATATGAATCACCAAGGACCACGGTTTCAGCTAAAAATCTTCTTTAATATTCGACTGGAGAATACAACTCACCTACATCTTGGATCGTCTGAGGGTCAGTAAATTAACAGCACATTTTCATTTTGGGGTAAACTATTTCTTTATTTTATGTTGAGTCAATGTGCATTGTAATATTTATTTTTGTAATATTTATTTTTTATTGTGTTTCAGTATTGACCACTTCTGTAGAATGACCCATAAAACAAACGTGTTCAGCCCAGCACACAGCATAGATTTGGATGTTTAGAAGGTTCTGTTGCAAAATATACTGTACATGATGAAAGCTGTTTTTTTATTATTATTTTGTATATTTAGGTTCATTCTTTAAAAAAATGACAGTATGAACATTTAATTGAACCAGGACTAAATGTATTTTTGGTTCTCACCAAAAGAACCGAACAAAAGTGTGAACACCCTTAATGACAAGTGGATATAATATTATATACTATACAGACATTTGCATGTTTACTGTAAATGTCAAAAATATAAATGACTGGGCATTGTTTTGCTGAATGAAGTGAGCAACTGTTTCTGTGTTTTATTCACAAATGTGGAGAAGGCATGATATAATTATCACAAATAATCTCGCTTTTAAACACATACAGACACGTCTACACATTTCCTTGGCATCCTAGACAATTTTATTTTCTGCTGCTTATGCAACCTCAGTGATACCAGCTTTTGCAACAATCAAATTAAAAAAAACTGGCTGGGGGCAGTCGTGGCCTAATGGATAGAGAGTTGGACTTGTAACCAGAATGTCATGGGTTCGAGTCTCAGGTCCAGCAGGAATTGTAGGTTGCGGGAGTGAATGACCAGCGCTCTCTTCCTCCCTCAATACCACGACTGAGGTGAGACCCTTGAGCAAGAACCGAACCCACAACTGCTCTCCGGTGTGTGTCACCATACTTGGGCCACACGTCACTTCACTTCAAAATGACATTTACAACACATCTGTATGAATGTGCAGCATGTTTAAAAATCCACATGTAGTTGTACTGTTTAATGCACTTTGTTCTTCTTCTAGTTATTTACCACAGCTAACAAATCTGGGGCCCGTTCTTTGTACCTCACTTAATACATCTGAGATGATTTGAAATATTCCAGATCTTATAATCGTGATAACTGACCTCTTTTTTTGCGAATTTGATAAAAATATCTGGACTAAGTTGTGTAAGATTAGTGCGCGTTCTCGTGTTCCCCGTAAAGGGCAGATGTATCGATACTCGAAACCACGATCAGCAATGCAGCGATTGGCTGGCGGCAAGACAGCAAGGTAATGACGTCATATAATTAAAAAAGACACCTGATGAAAAAACTTGACAAATTTCTGGAAACAGGCAAGTGAACAAAACTTCATAAATATAATAATACATAAATTAAATGTGCACTGTTTTTTTCTTTTTACATAATTCCCAATTATTTATATTCATGATTTCTAGTATTTGTACAGGATTTACCTTTTTATTTAAATGTTGTAATTAGTAATTCATTTAATTTTATCTCTGAAGCAGATTTGTAACATGACAGCATTAATTAAAGTTGCTTAAGGGTCAAGATCATGTTATCTGCATCTCCTGCAAGCCCCTCTCATAATATCTGTCAGCACTCAAATTAATGCACGGCTCAGATAAGTCTCCAATACAATTATAAAGTAATTATTTTATCATGAATAAATATTTAAATTAGTAAAACTGGCTGTGTCTATAGTATTATAGACTACACAACATTGTTATATTATTTTTCAATAAATTTTTTTAATGATTATTATTTTAAATGCTTGTCCCCAGATTAGTAGGGTACTCTTGTAATAGAGTATCAGTAACTGGGACAGATTTTAAGTATCAGTTCTGCTTACAAAGATGCAATCTAATGCTGTTCACATTAATTAAGCTGCTCCTGAGCAGGTTTGAGCTAATGGACCTGTTGCTATGACAGTAACTCCGGGAGGAGCATCAAAGAACCTAACAATCCTGGATCACGCCAAATCATCAACAATCAAATCCAGCTAACTGAGTTAGCGACGTACGACGAACAGGCCCCTGAAGTCTTGCACATACACAGAAAATATC